AAAGGTTAACAAATTTAAATCTCTTTAGTTTGGAAAAACGGTGCCTCAGAGGGGATATGATAACATTATACAAATGTATTCGGGGCCAGTACAAACCATTATCTGGAAATCTATTCATAAACAGGGTTATATGTAGGACATGAGGTCACACATTTAGGCTGGAAGAAAGGAGATTTCATCTAAGGCAAAGAAAAGTTTTTTTACAGAGTAAGAGTAATAAAGATATAGAAATCTCTGCATGAAGAGGAGGTTTTATCAGAGTCCATAGAGATGTTTAAACTGAAATTGGATAAATACTTGCAAAAACATAACATACAGGGAGGGATAAAATTTCTAATCAGTGGGGTAATAGCTGCTTGATCCAAGGAGACATCTGACTGCCATTCTGGGGTCAAGAAGGAATTTTTTCCTAATTTGTTGCAAAATTGGAAGCGCTACAAACTAGGTTTTTTGCCTTCTTTTGGATCAACAGCAAAAACATATGTGAGGAAGGCTGAACTTGATGGACGCAAATCTCTTTTTAGCTATGTAACTAGGTAACTATGTAACTTTGGTTTATATTACACTTCACACATCTCACTGGCTTGGGTGCAAAATGTGTGACAACAAGTACAAGCGCCTCTTCTACGCTCACTTTTATGCATCCTTTTAAAGCTAACAGGTCTGCCTGTCTATCCATCTATGTACCCTCCATCAAAATTTTAGATAGATATATGTAATAAGGGCCAGAAGCAAACCTACATGACACCAAGGGTGGAAATGCATTTTGGCTACCCCGCAAACTAAGCTATAGATTTTTTTTTTTTAAATGTTTTATCTCACTGTTCAGCTCACCCATGCCAACCCTATTTTGTTGGGGAAATTACATACACATACTAACATTCATATACAAAGACATGCTTATTCAAACGTACTTATATTCATATACACTCACATGCAGATATACACACAAAAAACATATACAGTTGTGCTCAAAAGTTTGCATACCCTTGGATAATTGGTAATATATGTATTATTTTTAAAGAAAGTGATCAGGCAAAACACATTTCTTTTATTTCTTATGGGATTCATATTCAACAAAGCAAAAAAATTTAATTACCCCTGTTTAAAAGTCTGCATACCTTTAGTTCTTAATACTGTGTATTTTGTAATAGTTGTCGATGAAGCCCCTAATTCTTACAGGTGGTATAGCTGACCATATGTCTTGGTAATATGACTCCAGGTCATGCAAAGCCTTTGTTCATCTTTGTTGTCTCAAGATGTTGTCAGGCATATTGTAACAGGGCTTTTTGTTTGTAGCATTGGTGCAGTAAATGCTTCTTTCTGGCAACTCATCCATACAGCTCATTTTTGTTTAAGTATTATCATATTGTGCTCCTTAACCCCTTAAGGACCAAACTTCTGGAATAAAAGGGAATCATGACATGTCACTCATGTCATGTGTCCTTAAGGGGTTAAAACAACCTTGCCATCTTTTTCCAAAGCAGCCTGTATTTCTCTTGAGGTTACTTGTGAGTTTTTCTTTGTATCCCGAACAATTCTTCTGGAAGTTGTGGATGAAATCTTTCTTGGTCTATCTGACCTTGGCTTGTTATCAAGAGATTCCTGAATTTTCCACTTCTTAATAAGTGATTGAATAGTACTGATCGGTATTTTCAAGGCTTTGGATAGCTTTTTATATAATTTTCCATCTTTATAAAGTTCCATTACCTTGTTATGTAAATCCTTCGATGTTCTTTTCTGCTCCCCATGACTCAGTGCATCCACGTGAGAGATAACAAACTCATTGACTGTTTATACACAGGCACTAATTGCAATATACAAAGCCACAGGTGTTGGAAATAAACCTTTAATTGCAATTTTAACCTAAGTGTGTCACCTTGTGTCTGTAAAAAGGCCAAACATTCAAGGACATGTAAACTTTTGATCGGGGCCATTTAGGTGATTTCTGTATCATTATGAATTAAAAAGGAAACCAAAAATGTGATAATAAATGGCTTCACATGATCACTATCCTTCAATACAACACATTTTTTTGAATGAACAGTCATATTTTCAAAATAAACACCAGAACTTCACAATTTCTGCCAGGGTATGCAAACCTTTGAGCACTATAGTAGGTCAGTGTGAACTTGTTTATTGAGATGAGATTGTCTATAGTGAGCTTGTCTGTAGGTCAGTGTGAGCTTGTCTATAGTGAGCTTGGGTGTGGGTCAGTGTGAGCTTGTCTAAAGTAAGCTTGTCTGTAGGTCAGTGTGAGCTTGTCTGTAGTGAGGGTGTATGTAAGTCAGTGTGAGCTTGCCTATAGTGAGCTTGTCTGTAGGTCAGTGTGGGTTTGTCTATAGTGAGCAGGTATGTAGTTCAGTGTGGGCTTGTCTATAGTGAGCTAGGATGTAAGTTAGTGTGAGCTTGTCTAAAGTAAGCTGAAGTGTGTCACAGTGAGTTTTTGTCTGCATGTGTATGCCTGTGAGCTTGTGTAGTGTGCTCATCTGTAGTGAGCTTGTGAGTGAGTGCATATGTGAAATTGGCTGTAATGAAATTGTGTGTAGTCAGTTTATGTGTGTCAGAGAGCTTGTGAGTATGAGCTTGCTTGTCTATGTGTGTTTGTGACAGTGAGATTGCAGCGCCCCTGCTCCCCCTCCAGCCCATGCTGTCTGTAAGTGAGAAAGAGTGTCTGTATGTAACTGTGTATGTGTGACTGTCTGCCTGTAACTGTCGTGTGTGTGTGACTGTGTGTTTGACTATCTGCCTGTAACTGTGTGTGTCTGACTATCTGTGACTGTGTGTTACCGTCTGCCTGTAACTGTGTATATGTTACTGTGTGTGAGTGACTATGTGCCTGTATTTGAAAATATATATATATGTATTACTGTGTGCATCTGACTGTGGGACTATGGGCATGTGATATATCAAAATTACACATCTGCATTCCTACATGCATTTTTTTATCTTAATCTGAATTAAATAACCATCACAAATATCACTCGCAGTCAAAACCATGAGGAGCTCAATGTGAGCATAATACTTTGATAATTATGTTTATTATTAATATTATTTCGTTATTCCAATTTATGTATGTGTCCATATCTCTTATCAGGGGTTATTAATAGTTTGCTAATAAAACTGATTTATCGTGTCTAAACAGTATGTCACCAACATGGAACGTTTTTAAAGCACTGATCTAAGTCATTTTTTAATAGTAAAGTGTGTAACAAATGTTTGGTTTTTTTCACTTTATTACAATTTGGGCGACTCCCTGACATCCCAGGCAGTCTCCCTGCAGGAGGTGATGCAGCCTGCTATTCCGGCCATGTGATCACGACATCATCGCTATATAAAGCCCGGGAAGGCCGTATTTGTTACAGGGTATGGCCTGGAATTTCAGACAAGTCCACCCAGTGTGATCGCCAGCGATGGCGGTCAGGTAAGAACTAAGAATGGAGAGCATATGCTTTGTCACCTGGCGGCATTTTGTAAACCTCCTGCTTTAGGATGGCATAGCACACCCATCGACCTTAAGGGGTTAATAAATATTATTTTAATATTTTAATATTAACTCTTTTCATCCTACTTTCAAGCACTCCTAACGAGAGTGTAATGATATTAAAGAATGATTTGTGATATAAAATAAAGCATAATGAAGTTAATGCTTTAGAGGCACCACTAGAGGCAGTGTGTAGGATTTTATTAAGACACGGAAGCTCCTATTATGCTGCACTCTTTCTTTATTTACCTCAGCAGCAAAGAAAAATAACATCAGTATAAAAGAAACCAGTAAATAACATGAGGTATATCTTCCTAGCAACAGGAACAGCCAATCAGCATCCTCTTTATAGCATAATAGGCAGTGTCCAGTATACTACTTCCTCTTTCTTTGCTGCTCCCTCAGTTAAGTGACACTGGGTCCCACGGTTCTTAACTGTGGGATCTTTTACTTTACTTTATTCATATCATTACTGTGGTTAATATAGTTATTATAGTTATTACATTAATATAATATTTTCATGTTTATAAATATATTTAGTTACTTCATTTTAACTTAATTTGATTTATTTACTTCATTTGCGTCTGTTATATGCTTTATTGTATATCCTTTGATAATGTATTTCCCCTCTGACCTCCTTGGCCCCAAGATTACCATCAATTTGTGGTCAGGGACGTCTTTGAGGAACTTTTTCCCCTGTATAGTGCCATTGTGCTGTTTTTTCCCTCCATTTATCTGTGTGGCTGCTGCTCTGCCACCAACTTCCAGAAATCCAAGTTGGGGTTTAGTTATAGCAGCAGCCGGGCAGCTCCTTTGTTGTTTATATTACAATTGCTATTTTTTCACTATTGTGAGTACTTTCATTTCTTTATCCTGTTTAGTTATTTATTTATTTTTTACTTGAGGGTTACTCAACCCTTTCCTTTTGGTATTATTTTGCTTTATTCACCCCCTTAGGTTTGTTTGTATATTTATGATGCAGTCTGACAGGATCTTTCTGTGCCTTCTGGGTCTACAGCAAACATGCAGATTAATGTAGAAGCCTCTCCAGGTATCTCTGGAGATGAGGCTGAATTTCTGCTTTACTGATCCTGCTGACATGCAGGCTTTAATTGACACTTCCATGGCAAAAGCAATGACAAGGCCCTGGTGTCAGGCCGCAATGCCTCATATAAGGCTAAACACTCCTCCAAAACAATAGAGATGGACAGTACCATACCTGTCATGGATGGCGCGATTAATTTACCACCGCGCAAAAGAGCTACTAGTCGGGCAAAATCGACTAGACGCGCAAAAGAGCTACTAGTCAGGCAAAATCGATTATTAAATTACTGATGAAGAGGATGCTAATCCCGTTTGGGATACACGTCCAGTTAAACCTACCAAGATTTAGGTAGATTATGTGGACTCAGGGCCACCGATAGGATCTTGGACACTCAATGTGAACCCCTATTCGAACCTGACAACCTATGTCACCCAGTGGTCTCCTCAGACCATGAAGCCAAGTATATTGCATCCAGAGTACGCAAGCCTTTTGAGAAGGCAAAGTGAAATAAATTGCGGGTTGAATGGCCACGCCGAACAGTCCCTGATGACTCATGTAAAACGTTATCAGTCGATCCTAAGATCATTCAATTCCTGAGTAAGACAGGATGGAAGCCATCTAAAGGCTTAGATTTTCATTGCAAAACTGTCGGGATAAAATCCTAGGCATCTTGAGCTCAGCAGCCAAGATCTTTGAAGCAGTAGAGGATGATCTAGAATTAGATTGCGCCATCTTAAGTGGTTAGATCCAGAGAATGATTTAAGTTGGCAACGCCAACAATGCGGTAGTCACAGAACGCCACAAATCGATCTTGCTCAAGATTGAGCCCAAACGTTTAACTATGGTTCTGAACGAGCCAGATAACACAGGCAAAAGGTTTTCTCTTTTGGGACAACTTTGTAAAAGAATTGGGCTCCTTTGTCCGGCTAAACAAACAGAAGTTCTTTTAGACAGAACCAAGGCTCTTATACTTGCCGAGCCGATTTCTTTGAACAATGCACTATACCAACCTCCTTCCCACAAAGCGGAAATGCGGAAATATTTCTCTACCTGTTCCAAGTTCCCCATCGAGGGAAATTTATTTTTTCCCAATGAGACGCGGACCTTGTCTCCGTGGACAATCAGTCATAGAGATTCCGGCCCATACCCTAGGTTACATGAGCAACCTTTTCTTGTATCCCAAACAAGGCAAAGGTATCCGTCCAGTGATAAATTTGAGACAGCTCAATAGTTATGAGCATATCAGCACTTCCAAGATGGAAGGAGGGCATTGTTTAAGGGATCTCCAACCAGCAGATTGGTACAACTTCAAGATTGAGAACTTCCTGCAATTTAAATGGTAGGACTGTAAATAGCGGTTCAGGTGCCTCCCATTCGGGCTGTCTTCAGCTCCATGGTGCTTCATCAAGCTCACGTCTTATAATATATTTAGACGGCATTTTAATTCTGGCTCAGTCTATTCAATTAATCCGAACATACCTTGCATGTACTTTGACTATGTTAGAGAACCTAGGCTTCCTGATCAATTGGGAGAAATCCATTATCGTTCCCACGCAACAAATCAAATTTCTGGGTTATATTGGATTATTGTAGATTCTACCCTTCAAACTCTACACCTTAAAAATTAGCCAATATCAAGAAGGAAATAGGCGAACACTAGCAACCTCTCAACTCTCTCTCAAACAACTGTTGAGAATGTTAGGCCTTCTAGCCACATCTATACAGGCCAATTTTCCAGGTCTTCTTGGCTATTGAGCCCTACAACGATTACAAACTTCATCTCAAGGGCAGTGCATCATACACAGATATGGTAACTCTGGACTCAGAAGCGGAGGATGAACTCCAATGGTGGCTTCTTCACATGGAAGCTTGGAATAAGCACACCATATTTTGTACAGCTCCAGATTTGATAAACAAATCCGATGCAAGTTTGAGGTGCTCAATGCGGAAATATTTCCACCAAGGGCAGATAATCAAACCTGGAAACTATACTCCACATCAATTGTTTGGAACATCTGTCCGGTTCCTTTGCAGTCCACAGTTTCTCCCCAACTCAAGACCAATGCGCTATCCTTCTGAAGATGGACAACGTGTCAGCAGTCCGCTACATCAATCACTTGGAGGCACAAAATACAAAATACAAAATTGTGACCTACATGTCTCGTGATTTCTGGCAATTTTGCCTGAGACACGGCATTTCAGTCACGGCAGAATATATTCAAGGTCTCTCCAACACCACGGCGGACTGGTATTCACGCCAACTCAGAGATTCCAGCGACTGGCACTTGGATTCCATGGTCTTCCAAGACATCTGGAACCTATGGGGTCTATTGGAAATAGATCTTTTCGCTTCTCGTTTGAATGCTCAACTTCCCCGTTTTTTTGTGTGTTCACTGGCTATGAATGTTTTCTCCAAGGATTTACGATTTTCTGCCCTTTGCACTAATTACCTGTTGCCTTTCCATCTACATCGCCAGTCCGAAACCTGGTGATAGAGGCTCCTCTATCGCCGTCCCAACCATAGTGCTCTCCTCTTCAGGAGATGGTTATCGACCTTCCATCTCTAGAGTGCCTTCTTCAGGATACAGACGATGTACCTCATCCCCTTGTTCTCCAAGGTCTCTTGCATCTCATAGTGTAGTCTATTTCAGGGAACCTTGGTCGGTCAAGGGAGTTTCGCAATCAACTCCCCAACTTATCAATGGTGCAACCAACACGAGACAGGCTTATAAATCTGCTTGGAGCAGATGGCATAGCTGGTGCATGAAATTAAATTTAAATCCCATATCGGCTCCTTTTGTGTCTTTCCTTCATTTTTCTGACTTCGGTGATGACGGTAAAGCCTATCGCACTGTGGACCTTACCAATCGTCCATTTCTGCTGGCCATCAAAGTTTCGATTGGACGCCTGTCGTTTGACATCCTGTCATATATTGACTTCTCTGAGAAATATGGTTTGCTCATCCACCCTGACGTCTCTATTGTCTTGAATTTTATTTTTTTTCTTGAAAGAGGTTTTTCTGAAGTCCGATATCTTGAGGTGGTTGCTCGTTCCTTTACTCCAGAAGGTGTCCTCTTTGACATTTCACGGAGGACAAAAACCTCCTCTAAAATCAATTTAGATCTCTCCTTTGCCCTGTTGCATACTAATGGGTGTGTGAACATCATTCCACCACGTTACGGAATCCTTTGAAACAGGAACTTTCATCTCCTTCCAAAAGTCACGTCTTCCGGTGTCTACCCTAGCCTGGTGGGTCAAATACGTTATGTCTCTAGCAGGTATTGATACCTATGTGTCTGTGCCTCATTCGGTTCGTGGGGCAATGGCTTCTAAGGCTTCCTCGATTGGTTGTCGCTTGGAGGATATTATGAGAGCTGCTGGTCTTCGGAGTCTACATTCCATGATTTCTACTTTAGACCTATTCAACACTTCACAGGAGACATAATTTCACAGCTTTGAACTAGCATAATAGGAGCCTCCGCGTCTTAATAAAATTTACAGATTTTACTATTAACATGACGTAAAGTCATGATTTTATTAATGACACAGAGGCGAGTGTTATCCCTCCCTCCCATCCCTGGAGGTTTGGTCTTCTCTGGGTAAGTTGACTTCACGGTAAGTCTTTTTTGATTACTGGGTTTTATCCTTGTTAATGATTGTCAAGAGCTTAAGGTTTGACTAAACTGAATTTCATGTTATGTATATATATATCTGATATTTCATGTAATGCAAATTTATGCATAAATCCAGTTTTATACTTGGATATTACCATATTCTCTTTTCTCTTCCAGATGACTTCGAGATCCAGTTTAAGGCTCGTATACCCTCTAATTGGAGCCCACTTTTTATTTGGATTTGTTGTCCTTGTTCGGGATCGCAAGAAAGAGGAAGTAATATACTGGACACGGCCCATTATACTATAAAGAGGATGCTGATTGGCTGTTCCTGTTGCTAGGAAGATATACCTCATGTTATTTACTGGTTTCTTTTATACTGATTTAATGTTATTTTTCTTTGCTGCTGAGGTAAATAAAGAAAGAATGCAGCAAAATAGGAGCCTCCGTGTCTTAATAAAATCATGACTTTACGTCATGGTAATAGTAAAATCTGTAAATTATCTTGTGTATCTGCCCCCGGCCAAATTAAAGAAATAATGCGTGCCCGCTCCTAAAGTAATTCACACCAGACACAGGTTTCGGGTTAATGAAAAACTCGAGGAATGTTTATTCAGAGGGGATGGCATGTCCTTTATAAAGCTTAATTACATCATAAGCATTGTCAGAGATAACATGGAATAATACATCAATAATTGGTTGGGTGTTAAGTGGTTCATTTATTGCTCTTCCTACCGGTTGTGATGTCACTGGTATCTTGGAGGTCTCCCCCAGATTCCAGCGCCATCTTGTTAATGAGGGTGTTAGCCGATGTTAAAGGGAAACTCCCTAGCGGCCATTTTAGGAAATCACATAGAAAGTTGAATAATGCTGATTGTAGTTATGTTGAGTAAATAGGCATTTTACTAACATGGATTGGGTTAATATTTTTGTCCACAACAGTACCTTGTACCCAGTATAACACACCCTGTACCCTGTATAACACACCCTGTACCCTGTATAACATACACTGTACCCTGTATAACACACTATACCATGTATAACACACTCTGTACCCTGTACAACACACACTTTACCCTGTATAACACACTCTGTACCCAGTATAACACACAGTGTGTGTAGTGTGTGTATGGGGGCAGTTTGTGTAGTGTGTGTATGGGGGCAGTGTTTGTGGGGCAGTGTGTGTAGTGTGTGTATGGGGGCAGTGTTTGTGGGGCAGTGTGTGTAGTGTGTGTATGGGAGCAGTGTTTGTGGGGCAGTGTGTGTAGTGTGTGTATGGGGGCAGTGTTTGTGGGGCAGTGTGTGTAGTGTGGGGCAGTGTGGTAGTGTGTGTATGGGGGCAGTGTGTGTAGTGTGTGTGGGGCAGTGTGTGTAGTGTGTGTATGGGGGGGGTAGTGTGTGTAGTGTGTGTATGGGGGGCAGTGTGTTTAGTGTGTGTATGGGGGCAGTGTTTGTATGGGGGGGAAGGAGGGTAGGGAGGCTTTTTAATAAAAAAAAAAATTATTTAATAAAATAAATATCTTGATGTATATTTCGATCCCTGGTGGTCCGGCGGTGGTGAGGTAAACTCTAGTCCGCAGCTCCAGGGCTAGAGTTCACTCGCACGAGAATTGGAGAGTTGCTGTGGTAACCGCGTCAACGCTCCGTGCTTGAGAGAGGAGGACCCGGAGGGAGAGCTCTCTCCCCGGTCCGCAGGCACATTGCACTTGGACACTGCCAGCCCTGCATTAGCCGACAGGGGAGAATCTTTGGGGGGGAGGGGGGATGGGGCAATTGCCCCGTTGCCCCCCCCAGATCCGCCACTGTGTATAACACACTATATAACACACACTGTACCCGGTATAACACACACTGTACCCTGTATAACTCACTGTATAACACACTCTGTACCCAGTATAACACACTGTACACTGTATAACACACACTATACCCTGTATAACACACTCTGTACCTTGTACAACACACTCTGCCGTATGTATGTATGTTGTATGCAGCATTCGCCTGATTGTTCGGTAAAATCACTCCAGTTATTATACGAGTGAAACTACCGAACAATCAGACCACCGCAGGAATAAGTGTGCCTCTAATTACCGTTTGCAACAATGTTGCAAACTCGTAATTGGCAATCAGTGCAGCGTGTGCTTTGTCCTCTGGGTGGCCACTGTTCGGGAGACGAACACGTGGTGGTGGCCATCTTAAACTCCAGAACAGCGGTGTATGGCGTTGAGTGTCTGGAACCCAAATCGGACACTCGACTAGGCAAACACCGCTGAGACCTCCACACTGCCATCAATTTGTGTAGAAACTACCGAATGGCTCACCGTTCGGTAGAAAGAACCCCACGAACACGGGGGTTTATCTGAATCCTCCCCAGTCTCCATAACCCAGGCCGTTTGTGCATTTTATTCCGTTTTTCTGTGACCGACCGCAGGGCCAAAACGTATGGAACCAATTGCGGCTGTTACCTCCAGCACGGTCAGTCTTTTTACTACCTCCATAAATTTCCCGAACCCCTGGTCCGATCTGGGTGATTTTTGAGTATGTCACTCACCCAAATCAGGGCTACCAGGGGATGTAAAATTTAGAGGTGTACCCCTAGGTTTAAGGGTACATCCAGAAAACGAAGGGAACTGTGTAATGCATGATGGGATTATGAGTCATACTAAGTGGAGCGGATGTGTGGGTGGCAACTCATGTATGATTGGTGTACTGTATAATTATTGTAGGTGTCTCCCTTGCATGGGAAAAATGCTTAAAAGCTGACTCTGTGATTAAAAGTTGAGTTCTGCTCCTGATGCTGTGTGTCATCCAGTCTTTGGGATCTGTATTGGGATATTCGTGGATTACCTTGCTTGCTGTGACTATTGTTATATTGGATTTTATTATTTGTTACTGAGCCTCACTTGGATCTTTAGTGGAGTTAACCTGTGAAATAGCAGCTCTCTGCTACACACATCATTTTATTTATTGCTCCCTACCTTTGGGAGCTAGTGTGTGGGGCCTCTCCCTGGGGTCTCCCTTCCTACTCCTCACTGCTCCCTCACGCGCGCAGTTTAGTGATGCCAGGTCAGAATGATGTCATATTCCAGCACTCGGCATCACTACTGAGGCCGCGTGAGTTTGACATGCTTGCTCAATACCTTGTATAAGATCCTGTACCCTGTATAATACAATGTATACACTGTATAACACACCCTGTATCCTGTTTAACACCGTATTCTTTGAATAACACCCTGTATCCTGTATAAGACACATTATGTATCCCTCAAAACAAACATAATGACAATTTCAAAACCCGCTAAATCACCCATATTAGTGATATATTTAGACCAATTTCACTGCTCAACACAGACAAACAATTATGCCAAACTATTGGCTTACCAACTGAACCCTCTCCTGCTCACACTAGTTTCGGCTGAACAAGCAATATTTGTCCCAGGCTTGACAGTTAACACAAGGTGCTTCCTTGACATCCCGAAATTGGTCCATAAGGCTAATACACCAGGCCTACCACTGGAGAAAAAGGCCAAAAATATATTTGAATGTCTAAATGGTGTTACACAAAAGAAATGTCAGTGGGGGGTGGAGGGGGGGGACAATTGGATTCCCTTCCAAACGTTTATCAAGAGTGTTGGCCCCTTACTCAAACCCTCAGCAAGAATCCTAAATATGGGTTTCCTTTCCAAATCTTTCCCCATTTGTAACAGTACAAGGCAAGGCTGTCCCTTATCATCCCTAGTCTTCATTTCAGCCCTAGAGCCATTAGTTTGTAAGATCCAATCAGATCAATCTATTAGAGGAGTTTCAACACCAGAAGGCGAGAAATGCTACAGGTGATTTTCATTGTTTTATTCAGTAATTTCCAGAAAAATTATGTATTTGAAACCACGGTACTGTCGTCACTCTAGAAATAAATGGCAATAACAATCTCTGAACTTTGTCAATTCTACTGAACATGAAATAGGAAACAAAACTAAAATAAAAGGAAATAAAATCTATTAGAAATGGCATACATGAAATTCTATACTATTATACTTGCATTTCTTTTATATAAAGGAGCACGGCAAGAATCATAAACATTATAGCCTGCTGTAGTGGTTATGGTGACAGTAGTACCCTGGCGCATACCTACTGAAGTTCCAGGAGGGATAAGCCAAATGGCAAATGATTTAGGTAAACTAGAAAAATGGTCAGAATTGTGGCAACTGACATTTAATGTGGATAAGTGCAAGATAATGCATCTTGGATGTAAAAACCCAAGTGCAGAGTACAGAATATTTGATAGAGTCCTAACCTCAACAGATGAGGAAAGGGATTTAGGGGTGATTATTTCTGATGACTTAAAGGTAGGCAGACAATGTAATAGAGCAGCAGGAAATGCTAGCAGAATGCTTGGTTGTCTAGGGAGAGGTATTAGCAGTAGAAAGAGGGAAGTGCTCATGCCATTGTACAGAACACTGGTGAGACCTCACTTGGAGTATTGTACACAGTACTGGAGACCGTATCTTCAGAAGGATATTGATACCTTAGAGAGGGTTCAGAGAAGGGCTACTAAACTGGTTCATGGATTGCGGGATAAAACTTACCAGGAAAGGTTAAAGGATCTTAACATGTATAGCTTGGAGGAAAGACGAGACAGGGGGGATATGATAGAAACATTTAAATATATAAAAGGAATCAACACAGTAAAGGAGGAGACTATATTTAAAAGAAGAAAAACTACCACAACAAGAGGACATAGTCTTAAATTAGAGGGACAAAGGTTTAAAAATAATATCAGGAAGTATTACTTTACTGAGAGGGTAGTGGATGCATGGAATAGCCTTCCAGCTGAAGTGGTAGAGGTTAACACAGTAAAGGAGTTTAAGCATGCGTGGGATAGGCATAAGGTTATCCTAACTATAAGATAAGGCCAGGGACTAATGAAAGTATTCAGAAAGTTGGGCAGACTAGATGGGCCGAATGGTTCTTATCTGCCGTCACATTCTATGTTTCTATGAAGGAAGTCAAACCATTTTAGAATGGTGTCACTTCTTATCTGAGGTCTGTCGGTTACTGCTTCCTGTCTCTAATACAGATCAGTGAGAGCAGGCAAACTCAGCAGTGCAGGGCTTAGCGAGTTCAATTGACACTCTCGGCCAACGTGCTAGCCCTGCACTCCAGGGTGCAGCTCCGGAGAGATAACAGAAGCTCCTGAGTAGTAGCTCCTATCTTCAAAGAGCTGTAGAGAAAGACCGGAGGCCCCAGGATTTGGTATAGCGCTGTCATTAAATTTGCACATCTCTGCTCATGTAGCCAAGGCATACACCCCCTCCTCCCCCCACACCCCCTAGCTAATGAGAACATATATGCAGAATTTAATATGAAATATATTCTATTTACAGTGTTACAATAGATACTTTTATAATTACTTTGCATGAGTTGGGATCACAGGTTGCAATACCCATAAGAGCACAGAATGTGTTATGGGGTATATTGAAATTGCGAGTGTAAATAGTATCATATTCTGAACCTGTATTTATTGATACAGTGCTACACTACTGGTTGGGACCTTCTTTTTATGTCAGGTTAAAGAAGGAGAAAGCTGGACACTGCCTAACAAGCAATGAATATCTATATCTATTGTCTGAGTTTTGAGCCTTTGGTTCAGTTGAGTTTAATGTAATACTTCATATTTGTTCATGATATTTAAAGAGGACCCACAGCATAATTACTTTTCTTTGTTTGTAGGTTTTCACAGAGATTAATAGAACATACAAGTTTCTGTAAATCAATAGACTTGTACAAAAATTAGTTGGAGCCAACGTGCCATAAAAACATGTTAATCCACCCCTGAACTAATTGAATTGTCTGGGATATTATTTAATAAATCCTATGTTTGGATTAAATGGATTCGGATTAACTGGCTCAACAACATTTTTGCACGGGTCTAATATCATACCAAGGATATTTTAGTCCAAATTACGCAATACAGTTTTTGATTCATTACAGAGCTCTGTCCAAGTCTTCAAACATTAACATACATACATACATGTCTGGCTGTTATCTCTTGCTTATTGACCGTATTACTGTATATAATACTATTATATTGCTTAAAGGAATTCCCTGATTGTTTTTTTTTTTTTTGAATATACAGCGTTGCAATATCATGCTGTCTCCTGCTTTAAAAAGGAAGTGGAAATACTGCTACTGGGAAGAACTAATCCTCTGGCGTCAGATTGTCCATGTATAGCAGCCGTGCACATCCATGGGCTACTAGTCACAGACCGTTATATTTCCTATTCATTCATGGTCATACAGATTATTTTGGAAAATTTTATTAATAAATGTATGGGTCACTCTTTGTATATAAGAGAAATGTCCTTCGGGGTTTGCTTGGGTTTTTTTTTTTGGTTTTTTTTTAGAGACAGCCTCAACCATAGAGGAATACCAGCCAGAACAATGCAAGCAGCTGCAAGGGTTTTTGAGAGTGCCTGGAACTCCAGGACTTTGTGTGTTGTCACGACCTTGCTTGAAAATTTCGTCCCTTGTGCTTCTGATGCTGCAGATACTTGAGGCTAGGGCAGGCGCTTTAGCTTACAGAAGTACATAGGCCCAAAGTTTGCAGTGAGATGAGGGAGGACCAATTCCCCTATCCTGCAGTCTGTAGAAAAGTTGAAAATGTTCTTGAAAATCTCTCTGAAGCAGCTAAGGTCTTGGAGCTCTGTATGAATTCCGTGTTCAGAGGAAGCAAGTTCAACTGCGCGCTGCACTACATACTCATTCTGCAGCTGGGACAGAGAGCACGTGGAGTATACCACTTCACCTCCTGGCTTTACTGCCTGCAGGGCAGCCCTGAAGAGAGCAATAACAAGGAGAAGGACATCAAAATATATCTAACTGGAGAAACTGTATTAAAGGCCTAACACGTTCTAACAAATATATAAAAAAAAAAAAAGGACCCAAATTATCATACTTTCACCAGCTAAACCAGGAGCTGCACTCATCCATATACAAAGACTTAGGTGCAACCAAACCAAGGGCCAGCACCAAGACCCTAGAAAAAGTTTCTAATCAAAAAGGAGAAAGGTCCAGCCACTCCAAGACTTTGATAGGCAAATTTATTGGAACTAAATGTCCAACAGCAATGCCTCGACCAAAAGCCAAAAGGTTTGGAATGCTTGAAAAGTACCTTTTGCTAGAGGCGTTGCTGCTGGACATTTTAGCTCCAATAAATTTGCCTAAGCCTCGGTTTGCCTGGACCTTTCTCCTTTGTGATGACATCATACTTTCACCTTGAAAAAGACCTCTTGGCAGGTCGAAACGTTGCTGTCTATTTTGTTAAAATAAATCTGCCTGCGGCTTTTACACTTTGAGTGCCTGGGAATTTTTCTTGCTGTGTTGGGATTGCTGGTCCTGTTCTGGAGCACCTATGGCCGCTGGGAGAGAGTGCGGATCCTGTGAACAATTTTGCATCATACTTTCACCGACATATTAACAGTAAGCCATCTACAGCTTGGTGAATGACGACAAGCTTACTATCAATCCTCAGTGTAGATTAGAGAGGGGATTACCATAATAAAGGTTTATTTGGCGGAGACGAAGTGGATAAGGACTGAGATGCTAAAGTGGATCAAGTGAAAGATGAATGAAGAAAAATGGGAACATTAGATGAGGAAGCAGAAGATACTGAAAGTACGGCACACTGAATTAAAATGGGGTCTGGGCATGATCGGATTGGCTACTATAATTCTGCATAAAATAGTGAAAGTGCCTTTTTGGAACCTTTGCATTAGGGGATTGTTTAACCAAAACACCTCCCTCATCACCACAATCTCCTTCGAATGATAAAGGCACTATGACAAATGATGTAACTATAACAACTAATTATATCCAGTTAACTTACACCAACAGCTCAACCTGAACCTTTGGCAACATCTGCCGCTCCTTAGTCCTCAATCGATGGAAAATGTTGTTGTCCTCTTCTAGAAGGGAATGTCTGTCTGTGGTACATGGGGCATCCACCAGAACCTGAATATAGAAACAAGGGAACAGCATAATTATCAAAAACAAAAATCACAATTAACCTTCTGAATGCCAGCAAGGGACACAAATGGATGAAGCCGTATAAAATACGTTTATAATCTCTTTGCAAATTGTTTTACTTTGGTCTCATATTACCATCCTATATTTAGGGAACTGACCCGGTCATAGGCACTGCTCTCGTTCTCGCCCCAGTTCCTGCCATCCCATGACGTAATGCGCACTTTGTCCTCTGTTCGAAGTTCTCTGGGAATATAAGACAGCAGGACCCTACGGAGCCGACCGCTGCGTGAAATGGACATATCGTTGGCAGTAAGGTGTCCTGAAAGACACAGCAAGTGTGAATATGGAGCTTATTACCCTTAATTGCGTACCCAATATAGCAATTCTACAAGGTTAAACTGCTACATTCAGCTTTTCAAGCGAATGTTATAGTAAGCTATAGGAAATGGCAACAGGTGGTAACATTACTTTGCAAAATGATAGTTACATAATAAGGAATATAGTCCACCTTATTCAGTAAACAAAGAATTATGCGGATATAAAATCTGAATTACAAAATTTGTGCTTAAACAGCCAAGCTGTGACTATAGCATGATCATCTATTGTTCCCAATTGGATTTTTACTTTGGGGATTAGTGAATGTTAATGATCCCCCTAGATAGCCTTGGCATTGGAGAGTTTTGTGTACTGCATTTCCCATGGTTTCCTTTAGTAACACAGAAAATGCAGTCTACACATGATAACCAGTATTGTCCCTACATTTATCCCAAGGTCTCTTTCTTCCGCCGGGACAAAGGTAGAGCAGACAGTCAGCTGCAATGATGCTGGGACAGAAAGCCTGTCCTTCCACTCTTGGTTGAGAAGCGACTGCCCAGGCTAATGAAGGCTCAGTTATCTATGCCTTGGGTGGGCATTAGGAAATTATTTTGTAATCATTTCACACACGTTGTTTAATGTATGATTATATTTTGCACTCAATATATTTCAGGATGATTCTGTTTTAAGGTCCCAGTTACCATCCATGTGTGTGATATACATGAAGAGTGGGGAGGCAGAGGAAAATAGGCTGAATCTTTCTTCATACTTGCCATTACAATTTAGATGATTAGGTCACCAACATGTTTGGCATAAGCTAGAACCAAGTTTAAGCATGTCGACATAGAAACAGTCGCCGTTCGCTTGGATGAAAAGCGGTTACGGAAACATGTTACAATTCCAGGATTTATTTGTATGACAGGCTAGTGTTCCTCTAGTCGCAGTGGTCAGTTCTCAAGTAACCCCTAACAGTCCTGGATTTAGGGATTACCCAGTTGTGTCTAAGGTGTTTTTGAAGTAGAAGAAAAAAAAAAAAACCCTTTAGACAGAACAAGGTACTTTGACGTGATTTTAGTTAATAGTATTAGCAGTCTGGACTTTTCTAAAAAGAAATAAATCCCAG